AGCAGTAAAAATCTATGCAAAAACTTTACCCACCCTGACTCCTTCCACCAGGGACCACCACCGTGGGTACAGACAGGCCCGACACTCTCCCTCACCTTGTGTTATTGAACCTACAACAAACATACAGGGCTGATTTTCAGAAGTGCTGAGTACTCACCCTCTAAGTGAGCTCCATGCCAGCGCCACTGAAAAATAATGCCAACAAATCACCATGAACTAACGCAAACTGCCTATTACAGCACTGAAGAATTTAGGAATATCTGCCATAATTAAAAGAAGTAAAATTAAGTAACTACTTTATGAAGATATAGAAGATAATTCCATCTGGATGTTCTTTCCACTCTTGAGTCATTTGTAGTGTATAGTATTCACTCATACATTTGCAAAAGAATGAGTAAAATCTGACCAAAATCCCAAATATCTGTATTTGGGGGAGAAAGTGTAAGTTAAGCAGTACTGTACAAGATGTAGATTTGTAAAGACATGTTTTTAAATTAATGTGAGTTGGCTTCAAACAACATGGACTACATTTTTAAGGTGTAAAACAACACTGAAGGGATACCATCAACTAATAAATGAGTTAAAAGTAGTTTAAGGTACTACAATTCCTGAGTCTCCCTGACAGTTTTTGTGGTTTTACAATCACATTTTCTTTTCTAAGACTTTCTTTCTCTTGTTGCTGTGGGAAAGACCAACACAACAGGGGGGAAATTGACTGAGGGGGAAACAGGCAAACTGATAAACAATGTACTGTCAAAATGAACAGAGTAATCTGAAAAATAGAGGAAAATAGTTCTCTCTAATCTTCCAGTCATAACTTATAGTTATTTGTAACAGTAGTGGGGAAAACCAACAAATTGGCACTAATATTTCCATAATATTTTAATTAACACAAAAATACTGCATTAAAAACCAAAGATATCACTGAAGTGGAAACCCACAAAAGTATCTCAGTTAAGGCTGCTACAGATATTTCACATTTTTAACTAAATGTATTTATTTCTCAAACTTCTTTTTTGACTTGTTCTAAACTTTATGATGAGCTAAACAAAAACAAACAAAAAGCTCTCACTTAGATCCAATTTCAATTGTGAGGCTTAATAGACTGAAAATTATTTTGTAAAAGAAAACAAAGCATACATCAGCCAATGTATCACTTTCTGAGATGCAATTGTAAATGGCTGTAATATTAAAAGGAGATCCCTGGCTAGGCTCTGGGTAATTTAAGCATATCCATACACATACCCACAGAAACATATGAACATAAAAAAAAAATGTATACTGGAATTCTTAAACTGCAGGCAAACTTGGCTTTGAAGAATTAATTACGTTAAATTTAATCACTGGCTGTTTGTTTAAATATGGGAGCACTAGCCAGCACCTTCTTCTCCAGTACATTCAGCCAAACTATTATAACTGCCGCCTCCAATGCAGGAACAATGGTGAAGAGGGGATCCCTGCACCACCTCCACTCTAGTGTACCCATGCAAGGCCAACCATAATTTAGTCCTATGGATTTAATTTACAGAGATACACACAAAACATCCATAAAAATAAATACTGGAATTAACAACATTTTTAAGTAGCAGAATAGACTCTCTAGAAAGTTGCCTACAGTAATGAGTATGTGTGTGTGTGTGTGTATATATATATGAATTAACATACATATATATTTTCTATTACTAACTCTAGGAAAGTTTCCTGCTTGGTTCCTACACATGCTAAGTGTAACATGAAACAATGTAACATTGCTATGGGAGAAAGCGTTCTCCACCAAGAAATATATGTTACAGATACCTTAGTAATATGGCTGAAATCCATACATCTTACTTTAAACAGTTATGAACAATACTATAACAATTACTCATATTACTTTTACAATGGCCAGGTCTGAAGTAAGGAGAAATCAAACTACTACAGCCATGATTGACTTTTTAATACTTACACACCCTGCCCGTAGAGACATTTTTGGGAGTCTTAATTTTGAAAGTATCAAAGAATAACCCCACGTGGCAAAAAGACATTGTATTTATTCATGTATTACATCTCACAGATGGCTGCCCAATTACTTTCTTATTGCTAGATTTCACATTTTATATATTTACTCCATCTTGTAATTTTCTGATGTCATAAGGACTTCTGTCGGAAAACTAAATGAAGAAATGGAAAAATTTAAGCGTATCTACCACCCCCTTTTCAAACAATGCTCAGGCCTTGTCTAGACTACGTAGTTTTGTCAACAAAAGTCAGCTTTCATTGATAAACGGTGGAGGTGTAACTCTCCTGCTACACCGACAAAATAAAACCACGTGGATGAGCAGAGCCGGCTCCAGGCACCAGCGGAGGAAGCACGTGCCTGGGGCAGCACATGCTAAGGGGCAGCATTCTGTCCATTCTTGGGGCAGCAGAGTCTGGGGTTTTTGGTTTTTTTTTTGGTTCGGGCGGCAGCTCAAGCCAGTTCCAGCCCTCTGGCTCTGGTGCACATGATGCAGGAGAGGGTAACTCTGGTCAGTGCTCATTTTGATTTGATGCTGCCCAGCTACGTGAGGTAGAGCTGTCCTTTGTTTCATTATATGCTAGAAGTGGGTTAAGGATAGAAGTGTACCAGACTAGCAGTGTTTGCATCTGCTTCCCATTCCCCTATGCAGCTATGCAGGGGAGGCTCTGCAGAAAAATGCTGCTTCAAAGCCTCCCTGATTCGAATAGCCCCCCTTTGTGCCCCTCTAATAGCTGAGGTATTTGGCTGCTCAAAATCAACTGCCAGGTGATCCACCTCCATGCTCTACCCCTGGGGAAACATTTCCCTCTTAGCTTCACAAATATTATGCAGAGCACAACATGCTGCTATGACCATGGAAATATTTTCCTCATTGAGGTCTAACCTGCCATAAAGGCAGCGCCAGTGCACTTTTAATCTGCCAAATGCACATTCAATGGTCATTCTGCACCTGCTCAGCCTATTGTTGAAGTCTCCTTGCTGCTCTCCAGGTTTCCTGTGTAAGGTTTCATGAGCCATGGGGAAAAGGGGTATGCTTACTATGGGGATTTCAACATCCCGCACTGGAATTTTCTGTTCTAGAAAGAAAGTCCCTGTTTGCAGCTTTCTGTACAGACCAGTGTTCTTGAAGATGCATGGATCATGCACCTTTCCTGACCATCTCGCATTGACAGCAGTGAAATGACCTCAGTAATTCACAAGCGCCTGCAATATTATAGAGAAGTACCCCTTTCTATTGATGTATTCTCTCGCAAGACGGTCCAGGGCCAAAATTGGGATATGCGTGCCATCAATCACTCCGCCACGGTTAGGGAATCCCATTGCTGCAAAGCCATCCACTATTTCATGCATATTTCCCAGTATCTCAGTCGTTGGTAGCAGGATGTGATTAATGGTCCTGCAAATCTGAGTGAACGCAAACCCCATGGTGGACTTCCTAACTCCAAACTGATTTGCAACTGACCAGTAGCAATCTGGAGTTGCCAGCTTCCACATAGCAATCGCCACAGGCTTCTCCACCAAGAGGGCAGCTCTCATTGTGGTGTCCTTGTGCCATAGGTCAGGGGTGAGCTCCACGCACAGTTCCAGGAAAGTGGCTTTCCGCATCAGAAAGTTTTGCAACCACTGGTCATCATCCAATACCTGCATAACAATGCGATCCCACCACTTGGTGCTTGCTTTCCAAGCGCAATGGTCCACCATGTGCAGCTACTCCGTGAACGCCAAAAGTAATCTGGAATGGTTTCTTTCCATGGCACACAGCGGGGCAAGGCACCATGGATTCCTGTTCAGATCTGCAGCTCAAAATACTGCATGATCAGCCGCCTTGTGTTCATAACACTTATCACAAGACTTGAGAGCATTGCTGGATTCATGATTTCAGGTGGAGATGATGGGTGCATAGTTTACAGGGGCTGTTGAAAAATGGCACGAAACAGTCAGACACCCATGGAATGATGGGGCAGGAAAAACTGCATCATGGGACAGTGAGCCCGCAATGATGATGCACTCTGATCTATTCCCCATTCCCACAACTCCTAGCAGCAGAAGGTGGCAAGTTGCACAGTGGGCTAGCTACCCATGGTGCACTGCTCTCTCTGTCAATGCTAGAGAATGAACTGTGGATGCACTCTGCTGACTCAGGAAGCATTATGTAAACATGTGCAAGCCATGTTGTTATTGCAGTTAATGATTGTCGGCGACACTTGTGTCGACTTAACTCTGTACTGTAGACATAGCCCTAGACAACCTAATTCCTTACACCAACAACACATTTTTCTATGACAACTAAAACAGATCACCCCAAAGGACTGTTAGTTTTCTCTCTAACCTTATATTCTGTTAAAATAAACTTTTATTCTACTATTTTTTTCCATAAGATGACATGTGTTTCGATCTTTAAAAATAATTAACCAAGTAATATGTCCTAATCAGATGAACTGACATTAGCATCAACACCCAAATGCAACTGGTTGAGGATAAAAAAAATGCTACTCACAAAAGCATTTGCCCATCTAATCTTTTGTATCCCATCAGTCTTCTTCCCATGCTACCTAGGTAGTGATGTTTACCAAACTAGTTTTGAGTTTATCTACCAGAAAAGACTCACTTTATCAGAAAAAAATATAAAATGTTTTATAGTCCTATTTTCAAAAATTTTTGGAATTTTTTAAAATAGCTTAATTAAAATAAAAGATACATCAGAAACAAGTATATATAAAACAATACAAAAATACAAATTTTGCTTTGTAGAAAAGCATTATATACAGGTACAATACATATAAGTGCTAAGTCCTCAGTCTCAGCTACAGTATTTGAAAATGCATTTTCTGCACTACGACTGGACATTGAGGCCTTTATCCAGCTGAGGAAATTCTTCTACTTCAGCATGAAACATCAGTTCTGGAAGAGAGAAAAAACAAAAAACAAAACAAAAAAAACACAGTATTTTTTAAATGCTTTAGTGAAAAACCATATAAATTATTGCTAAATATTTCCTCCTGCTTTTCTCCAAACTTCCTCTTCGAGTTGTCTTCTAAATAATACCACCAACACCAGGGCCAAGCTATTCTGGGGCCCAATGCAGTCCCCCCCAGGGGAGGGAAGGCCTCCGGGGGGGGGGGGGGGCGGCCCCCCGCCGCTGGGGGGGGGGGGGGGCGCGCTGGCTTGGGGAACAGGGGGGAACCACTCCCTAGCACTCACCGGTGATGTGGCTGGGGCCAGGTTGCTGCACTTCCCGCCGCCAGTGAGTGCAGGCCCAGCCCTGCTGCAGTCCTCAGGGGAGTGGGGCTGGGGCTGGGGAAGAGCAGGGAAGGAAGAGGCGGGGCGGAGCAGGGGCGGGGGCTTTGAGGAAGAGGCCGAGCGGGGCCGGAGCAGCACGCAGCTGCGCAGGGCACCTGGAAATTTGGTGACCCAAATTTCCTGGTGCCCTACGCAGCTGCGTACTTTGCGTATGGGTAAGGAAGGCCCTGACCAACACCTTGATAATGGCAAGAGACACCCCTGTCCCCACCAAGCTGCCATTGTACTAAAAGCCTTAGTATGATGAGGAATGTTCAATGCCAGCAAACACCACACAGCAGCATCCTCCATTTGGACTAGTGACATTATCAAAAATAGAAATTGCAAAATTAACTAACCAGCCAAGTCAACATTAGAAAGTTTTTAAAATTACATTAGAATCAGAAAGCAGAATTCAATTTAGATTATCAATTTTTATCTAACTGGCAGCACATTTAGCTGAGGAAAAGCATACTTCAGCATATGACTGGATCCACCGCATTTGCTGATGCCCCTGCATATGCTGTTTCAGATGGTGAATGAAGTATGAACTTGTTAGACTGTTTTTGAATAGTTTTGAGTTTCCTTTGAGATAGTCCTAGGTGAACCTTTTCAGAATTTCTCTCTCAAAACTTTTAAGGCACTGTCCTAGTCAGTGGTTAGAGCCTGGAAACACGGAGGAGTTCTGGGCCAGACCATGCCATCGGCTCACCTTGGGCAAGTCAATTTCACCTCTTTGTGCCTCAGGTTCCCCACTTCTAAGGTGCTTTTCAATAATGCTATTGTATATTGCTTGTAATCCAAAGATTTTAAAATCCAGCTGGATTTTTGAATTTCAACTCACCCCCCAGCACGTATGAATGATACCAGGAAAGGGAGTAGGGGACAGCAGGGGACTGAGATATAAAAAGTTGTCAAATAATGTTGTAAAGCAGCTTGAAGAAATATTTTAAAGCTCCATAAATCTACAAAATATTATCAAAGAGGATTTTTTGTGTGACATCAGTTGACATGTGATTGAAACACATGCAATCTACATATTCACTGTAGGTTCACTGGACAGTCTGAGCTGTGCTCGGTACAAGTCTGGGAGGAGTGGTAAAGGTGGCATTAAGCCACCTTTTGGTTCCTGATCCTGGCATCAAAGGGCACTAGCCCTGGTCCAAGATAACAGAGCAGCATCCAGGCTCCGCACCAAACAGACAAGGGGACTACGCACTGCCCCTGAGCTCTGGAGGTCCCAGTACGTTTAAAGCCTGCAAAATTTGAACCGAATAAGTAATTCAATCATCACATAATAAATGACGCACTATTGCTGTGTGAGGGAGATTAATGGGCCTGTATCACTGGACAGGGGGGCGGGGGGGGTTGAGTGTGTAGGAAGGTCTAGGTAAAGACTCCTGCTTTTCTAGTCTGTTGAAAAGAGTTTGCTGCTCAAGCTGTATTGTACATACATTCAGCAAATGTCATTTGTGAAATGTGCACTTTAAAACGTAATATAGTTTTCTAATATATAAGCAGAGTATTCCGGGCGGCGCGGACCCCATCTCCAAGCAGCGCGGTAAGGGGGGCAGGGGACAGGGAGGGGGTGTTGGATAAAGGGCGGGGGGGTGGATTAGGGTCGGGACTCAGGGCGGTCAGAGGGCAGGGAACAGGGGAATTGAATGGGGGCAAGGGTCCTGGGGGGGCAGTCAGGAAGGAGCAGGAGTGTTGGATGGGGTGGTGGGGGGCAGTCAGGGGCAGGGGTTCCGGGGGTGGTCAGGGGACAGGGAGAAGGGGTGGTTGGATGGGGCAGGGGTCCCGGGGGGTCATCAGGAATGAGAGGAGGGGTTGGATGGGGCGGCAGGGGGCAGTTAGGGGACAGGGAAGGGGGGTGGATGGGGTAGGAGTCCCGGGATGGGGTGTCAAGGAACGTGGGGGGTTGGATGGGGCAGGAGTCCCGGGGGGTGGGGCACAACCCCCTTGTGGGGTGAGGAGGAGGGAACCGGTTGTTAATATTTTGGCAGCTCATCACTGGTTATGAGTATTCAGAGGAAGAGAGAGTGAGGAAGAGAAAAAAGGATTATAATAGAAATGTTTTATCCTTAACTATAGCAGTGATACACTTCTAAGGACCAGTTCTAAACACAGAACAAAGTCCATCTGGGGGAGCCAAAAGAACACAGTCTCCAAATTTCTTCTAGGCTTAATGTCCCATACCTTCACTGTGATCTAGCTCTGGTCGGTAAGATAAGAAGAGCCAGGATAGTCCAACTAGAAGAGCTACCACCAGATTCACCACAATCCATGGATGAAGAATCTGTTCCTCTGCACCTGCAGTCCTGAAAAAAGCATTAGCTACTTATTAGAGGGCAGATAGCGAGGCTTATCCTGCTGTGTATATATTATTATTTTAACAACTTCTACCATGTAGCACTCTGACAGCTAGATGCTTTAACTGGAGAAATTAAAAACACCAAACAAAAACAAAAACAAATACTGAACAACAAATGTTTCTCACAACATGTTCTAAAGGTTCTGGGGTCTGAAGAGCTGCAGAGGAGAGTGAATACCAAAGGCTATGACCCAACTGAGAAGCCCCACTACCTATCATGGAGTGAGTGTTCAAGTTAGATGTCAGCACCAACCCCCTTCCCTAGCTGGAGACAGAAAACAAAGAGTAGGATTAAATGGTCAATTGTCATCCTGGCAAAAGGTTAACAACAGGGGGCCTCAAGGTTCCATATTAGACCTAGTGTTGTTTAATATATTTATTAATGATCTGGAAAGGGGAATGAGTAGTGAGGTAGCAAAATCTGCAGAGGAGACAAAGTTTTAATTATGATTGTGACAGAGTGGGATATGTCTATATAAAATTACCAATTCTGTTTTTACTTTGTGTTGAACACTTGTCTGAACTTGCCTAAGGGCTGTATTCCAGACTGCTGTCCTGCCTAGGAAAGGAGTATGACACCTTGTTGAAGGACTGTCTCTGAGAGCCATGAAGACTGCAGACTGGGAACATCAAATTTGATTCTGTCTCAATTACTGGCCCACCCTCCAAGAAGCAATGGTCTTTCTACACACAGGCCAATAATTCTGCAGTATCCTCTTGATCAGTCTCTTTTTATGGCACTTTTTCCTAATTTGTTGGACACAGGGTGACCAGATAGCAAGTGTGAAAAATCAGGACAGGGGGTGGGGGGTAATAGGAGCTCATATAAAAAAAAGCCCCAGATATCGGGACTGTCCTTATAAAATCAGGACATCTGGTCACCCTGGTTGGACAGAATAGATAACCTCTTCCAAAAATGACACTGGCACTCCACAGATTGATCTGCACAAGGAAAGAAAATGTGCCACCTCTGTGATGTGCCATTTCAGTTTGGTCACTTCCAAAACAGAGGCCTCAGGACTGAGCCAATCAAGGTGTATAAAGGATACATTTAACCATTAGACACAGCGAGCCCTATCATGTGAGTTGCTAAACACCCTCAATTCTCAAAGTCATCAAGGGCTCAGTTAAAGGGCTCAAATGCAAAAATATTAGGACAGGTTTAGTATTGGGAATCTTTTATAACACTTTTAGATGTGTACTATATGACATCACTAAACCACTGTTAATTAAACATTCTTACATGGTCTGTGTCATAGAAGGGGCAAGAAAATGTTAAAAAATAATGCTATCTAGATTTCCTACCAGAGGCTCCCATTCTCCGAAGGTGGTGTATAGAGGTTGATTCTGTCACTTGTCATCTGCTGGCTCAGAGACAAGATGAGAGCAACAAAGTATACTGGGAGAAATGGAAAGAAATTTGCAGCTTTCACTAATTTTACATAAAACACTATCTAGTCACAAAATAATGATTTTTACCTTGCTCTCTCTCTCCCTCCACCCCACTGTCTCCAAAGTCATAGAATGTGCTGCTCACTTCCACTGCCCAGTCTTCTTCTCCAGCACTCTCCTTAACTCCTCAAATCTGAATTCTGTCCCCTGCATTCTACCATCCTGACCAAGGTCACTAACAACTTGCTGGCTAAGTCAAAGGGATATGTCATTACTCTTGTTCTACTTGGTACATGTGCTGCATTCAAAATGGGAGAAAATAGCATTACAAGGGGTAAGGAAGAGAAAAAGGATTCAGAAGCACTAAAAATCCCATCACTTATTCCAAACTTTTACATGAGACTAGTTAGTAAAACATTCAGCTCTTTGACCCTCCATTTTTATCTAACAGACTGAAGTGCTAATATTTAATACAGTAATGTAATTTTTTTTTAACGTAGAGAACAATTAGGGATGAAATTTCCATTAACAGTATGGAGATTGCATGTTTAAACTCAGCACTGAAAATGTATGCCAAGATGCATAAAGGCTGTAATTTTCTGCTACTGAATGTTATGGTCTGCTGTATACTCACTGTCAGGGTTCCCTCCCCACTTTGAACTCTGGGGTACAGATGTGGGGACCCGCATGAAAGACCCCCTAAGCTTATTTCTACCAGCTTAGGTTAAAAACTTCCCCAAGGCACAAATCCTTCCTTGTCCTTGGATGAGTACTGCTGCCACCACCAAGTGAGTTAGACAAAGATTTAAGGAAAAGGACCACTTGGAATTCCTGTTCCCCAAAAATCCCCCCAAGCCCCTTCAACCCTTTCCAGGGGAGGCTTGAGAATAATATACCAACCAAATAGGTTAACAAAGTGGGCACAGACCAGCCCTTGGCTTTTTAGGACACTAAAAACCAATTAGGTTCTTAAAAGCAGAACTTTATTATAAAGAAAAAGTAAAAGAAGCATCTCTGTAAAATCAGGATGGAAGGTAATTTTACAAGGTAATCAGATTCCAAACACAGAGGATCCCCCTCTAGGCAAAACTTTAAAGGTACCAAAAAAACCAGGAATAAACCTCCCTCATAGCATAGGGACAATTCACCAGCTAAAACAAAAGATAATCTAACACATTTTCTTCCTATTACTTACAATTTGTAATCTTAGAGGCTTAGTTCAGGTATGGCTTTGGGAGATGTATTTTCCCTGCCCTGATTCCTCGCTGACCCGGACAGAACAAAGGAACACAGAACAAAAACCTTCCCCCACAGATCTGAAGTATCTTCTCCCCTTATTGGTCCTTTTGGTCAGGGGCCAACCAGGTTATCTGAGCTTCTTAACCCTTTACAGGTAAAGGAGGGATTTTATGCTACCTGTAGCTGTATGTTTATGACACTCACAGAAAGAGGCTATGGCTGCTGGATCCAGGGTCAGGAAGCCTCGCACTGCTACTGATGCTTTAGCCAAGTCAATCCTGGACAGATATATATATATATATATAAAGAAATGAAGGTTACTTATTTATAATCAAAATTCTTCAAGATGGCTCTGTTTATGCACACTTATGGGTACTGTGCCACCTTGTGGTGCCCTGTGGTAGAACATTCTTCCAGCAGTGTAAGAAGCATTCTCATGCCCCACCCCCCGCCTCAGTCACTGACGTTCTGAAGCCAAGGCTGTATGGGGTAAGGTGCCCTCATCACTTCAGTTCCTTCCACCACAAAGCCAGAGAAACCAAACAAACAAGGACTCTGGCAGAGAGAGAAAGTCTGGTGGGAAGTGTGAATATGCAGAGCGATCTCGAAGAACCTTGGTTACAAGGAAGTAACCTTAAGTTCTTCTTTGCATGGTTCTGCATATTCCCTCTTAAGGGATAAAGCGATAGGCAGTGCTGAAAACTGACCTAGAGCCAGAACAGAGTCCTAATTGAATAGAGACTGTAGCACTGCTTTACGAAATCCAGTGCCTATCCTAGAGGCCAGGTCCAAGGCATAATGTTTACTGAAAGTCCAGGTTGCAGCTCTGCAAATTTCAGCAACTGGCACCTGCCTAAGACAAGCGAAGGAAGAAGCCACAGTGATAGAATCAAAGCAGGTACAGGAACTTTTGCTAGTGTGTAACATTCAGCAATAAATCGTTAATCCATCAAGATATAGTCTGGAAAGAAACCATATAACCCTTAGAACTAAGAGGTTTTGTAAATTATCAAGATTGTGTCTTATGCTATCTATATAATAAGCAAGGGTCCTTCTGGCATCCTCCTTATTAGAACAAGGCCTCAGGGGGAAACCAGCAAATTAATTGTCTGCTTGATGTGAAAATCAGATATCACCTTAAGTAAAAGCCTGGGATCAGGTTGGAGAACTACCCTGTTTATGAAAAGAAATGAAAGTTGGATCAGCCAAAAAGGTATTCAATTCACTCACTCTGATGGGGATAATGAAAGCCATCTTGATAGATCAAATGATACAGAGAACACTCAGCAAAGGGTTCAAAGGGCAATTTTCCCAGCATGACCCATGCTGCATGGGCAATACCAAATTGAGATCCCAGGAAGGGACAGGATCTCTAAGTGTGTGTGTGTGTGTGTGTGTGTGTGTGTGTGTGTGTGTGTGTGTG